TTTGTATTTGTGCCTAGGATTGGCCTGACCCAGGTGAAGGACCTTGCATTTTGACTTGTTGAAGCTCATGCAGTTTGCACTGGCCCAATTCTCAAGCCTGTCAAGGTCCCCCTGGATGGCATCTCTTCCCTCAAGGGAGTCCATGGCACCACACAGCTTGGTGTTGTCGGCAAACTTACTGAGGGTGCACTCAATGCCATCATCCATGTCGCTGACAAAGGTGTTGAACAGCACTGGACCCAGAACAGACCCCTGAGGGACACCACTTGACACTGGTCTCCATGTAGACATCTCATCATTGACCACAACTCTTTAAGTGCGACCATCCAGCCAGTTCTTTATCCACCGAGTGGTCCATCTGTCAAATCTGTGTCTCTCCATTTTAGAGACAAGGATGTCATGTGGTACAGTGTCAAACACCTTGCACAAGTCCAGGAAAATGACATCCGTTGCTTTACCCACATCAACCAGCGCTGTAGCTTTGTCGTAGAAGGCCACTAAATTAGTCAGGCACGACTTGCCCCTAGTGAAGCCATGTTGGCTGTCACCAACCACTTGGTTATTTTTTATGTGCCTTAGTACAGCTACTAGGAGAATCTGTTCTATGATTTTACCTGGCACAGAGGTAAGGCTGACTGGTCTGTAGTTTCCCAGGTTGTCTAGAAACAAACTCCAGACTGAATAATTACAATTCAGAGTGAATGAAACCATCCATGCAGTCATCTTCCCGCTTCTCTTATCAGAGCTTTTGGGGAGCTGATGACTTACTGTTTATGATGTTTCATTTCTATCACAGAATCTTTTTTTAAGAGGCTGTACATAGCTTTTGACATGTTTTTGCTGACAGACTACTTAAAATGATTTTTCACTGGAAACATTTCTTTACTGCTATTAATGGCTCTTCTTAGTTACTTAAGTTGCAGTATTATTCAGCTTGACTCTTGTAATGTTGCTTTTTCCTTGGCAGGTATTTGGAATGGAGTTAGTTGGCTGCTTGTTTTCTCGAAACTGGAATATACGAGAAATGGCACTTAGACGTCTTTCCCATGATGTTAGTGGTGCTCTATTACTGGCTAATGGTGAAAGCACTGGAAATTCCGGAAGTAGCAATGGAAACAACACAAGTGCTGGAGCTCTGGGAGCAGCTAGTGGGTCATCTCAGACCAGTATCTCAGGAGATGTGGTGGTGGAATCCTGCTGCAGTGTGCTGTCCATGGTCTGTGCTGACCCTGTCTACAAAGTGTATGTTGCTGCTTTAGTAAGTAGTTGTTTACTACTTGTATTCTAGTAATTTCAAAGTTACTTCATTTTTGAAGGGGAGAGAAAGGGAGGAGATACATGAAGTCAGGAATCTTAGTAATTGTTGTTGAGCACCACTGATGACTTGACTTTTAACCATCATCTGAAAGTGACATGAACAAAGCCCTCAGCAAGAGTGAAATGGCCTGACTCCACTGGCCAAACATAAGGAAATGTTTTCTACAGTGCAAAGTATTAACAGTAAGTTCTTTCCAGTCTCCTGGAATACACGACTGACTCTATTAGTGAATATGTAGGAAGGTATTTATCCTTTGACTATTTCACTGATGGTTTGAGTGCAATTTATGTAAAACTGTTTGCAACTCTTTAAAAAAAAAAAATTGTGGAGCTAACTTGATTTCATATGTCTTGCTTTTTTCCTTTCTCTTAGAAAACTTTAAGAGCCATGCTGGTATATACCCCCTGTCATACTTTGGCAGAGAGGACTAAACTACAGCGACTTCTCAAGCCAGTTGTGGAGACTATATTAGTTAAATGTGCAGATGCCAACAGGTATGATGCCTCATGAACTTCAAATTCGTTTTTGATTGTTACTTGAAGTGTCTTGAAGCTTCCTTTTTTTGCTGTTTATGTGGAACTAGCAGATCATCTCTAGTTGGTGGTGAAATAAAATGTGTGGATCATAAGTATAAATATGTTTTTGTTCAAGTCTGATTGCTACCAACAAACTTCTGTCTTGAAAGATGTAGGTTTTGAAGGTGCCTGATTGGTTTTTTTCCCAGCATTTACAGATCTTGAATGACACTCAGCTTTCATTAGGCCTTTTTTTCCCCCTTAAAATGAAGGAGGATGTTAGTTGCAGTCATCAGCCATCCCCTCCATCTCAATTGATACTGCTTTGGTCTAATTCTCATGACTCACCTTTCAGCAGGCAGAAAGTACTAATCATGCGTGTTTCCTGCTTCAACAAAAGCTGTTGTACATCTGTCATGATGTGTTAACATAACACTGCTACTTTGTATTTGTACTGTAATGTTAGGAGATGGCTATTCTGAGTGAATGCCTTTGGCATTTCTGGCTTGTCTTCCTGTCCCAAGCTACCCTGTTTGTTCTGCCAGACTGACAATTTCTTCACCTGTATTGTAAACTAGATGCAGAATTCCACCAGCTTAATTTTTGTCTCTTTAGGATTAGTTCCTATGCGGCATTGCTTCTGAATCTGCAGCTAGAGTTGCCCCGGTAATAGTCTAGCAATAGAACACCTAAAGTTAAAGGAAGAAGTGAAATAGAACTGATGCTTTTTGTTGCTAGATTCCTGAATTTGGCCTGTTTTTGCAAGAGGATGAGGTCCTATTTGGGCTTTTTGTTTATTTCTTAGTGATACACATAACATTTCTGGAAGTATCATTATGAAAAATGTCATAACTACTGGTAGCTTACATAGAAGATTGTAGAAATGTATTGGAGTAAAGTGATGTGAAACAATTTTCCATGCACAATTCCAAGCTATTGGTTATTGAAATATAATTATTATAATATTTTTCCTTGAAAGTATCTGCTAAGACTTATTTTTTGTTTTAATTTATTACAGTCGAACAAGTCAACTTTCAGTCTCAACGCTATTGGAGATGTGTAAAGGCCAAGCAGGCGAGCTGGCAGTTGGCAGAGAAATACTTAAATCTGGTAATAATAGCTCATATGTAATTGAATTATAAGCACAAGCAAATATACTGAAGTGTTTCAAATTTTAATACAGGATTTATCCAATATCAGCATGGCAAAGAGAACAGTATATCAGCAGTTTGGAAGGAGGGTAATTTGGGCACACAATGTGTATTTCTGTATGATACAATTCTGATCTTCATTTCAATCAGAATTTAGATGGTGAACGTAATCTAATCCTTATTTTATCAACTTTTTTTATAGGGTCCATTGGTATAGGTGGTGTTGATTATGTCTTAAATTGTATTCTTGGAACCCAAACTGAATCTAGCAACTGGCAAGCGCTACTGGGGCGACTTTGTCTGATAGACAGACTTCTGTTGGAATTTCCTGGTGAATTTTATCCCCACATTGTCTGTGGAGATGTTTTACAGGCTGATACCGTAGTAGACAGGTACTTGCTTATGCTATGTGACTATTACTCTTCGTAGTTGAATGCGTTGGTGGTGATTTTTTTTTTTAAATAGTTGTTTTAATTTATTTTTAAAATATATATATATATATATTTATATGCAAAAGCATGCTTAATTTATGGAGTAAATGGTTGCCTTTTTTTAAAACTTCTGATCTGTGAATCAATTTTGAGGCACCAGTGCAGCAGTAAGACTCCTTTCTACTGCAGAACTGACAGCTAAATATATTATCTTGAAATTACTTTCGTGGCATTAGTTAACTAGAGCGTATCAGTGTATAAAACACCTCTTTTCTTCTTTTTAGGTATAAGAAACTTCTCTCCCTCTTAACTTTCGCCTTGCAGTCGATTGACAATTCCCATTCAATGGTTGGTAAATTATCGCGGAGAGTATTTTTGAATGCAGCAAGAATGGTGGCAAGAGTGCCCCATGTTTTTGTAAAGCTGTTAGAAATGTTGAGTGCGACAAGCTCAAGTCATTATGCAAGGATGCGTCGACGTCTGATGGCAATAGCAGATGAAATGGAAATTGCAGAAGCCATCCAGCTAGGCATGGAAGAAGTGCACTCTGGGGAATGTCAACATGAAGACTTTTTGCAGCTGCCTGTACCAGATAACTCTCCAGAAGCTACAGAAAGTAATACTCCTAACAATACTGTCCAGTTATCAGGGAAATGTGGGAAAGGTTTAAGTGATAAAAAAACGAGTGCCAGTCCAGAGGACATTTCTGAGACACTGGCTGGCCTTGCTGTGGGACTTCCTGTTTCATCAGTAACCACTGAGCAACCAAAGCCAGCCATTCAAACAAAAGGAAAGCCCCACAGTCAGTGTTTGAACTCTTCTCCCTCATCTAGTCATTCGCAGTCACTATTCCCAACACTTCTGTCTCCTTCAAACCCATCTGTACCAGCTGGCACTGTAACAGATGTCTCTAAACTCAGACCTCAGGGATTCGTTCCCTGCAAAATCCCTTCACCTTCTCCTCAAACACAGCGGAAACTTTCTCTCCAGTTTCAGAGAAACTGTTCTGAAAATAAAGAACTAGAGAAACTTTCTCCTGTTTTTACCCAAGCCAGGCCATTGCCATCCAGTCACATACACAGGCCAAAGCCATCACGACCCGCCCCAAGTGATGTGAACAAGCAGGGGGAAACCTCAAAAACCAGTATGACACTTGACCTGAATGATATTTCACAGTGCGGTGGCAATAGTAGTAGCAGCAGCAGTGCAGTTATACCAAGTGAAGAGACAGTGTTCACACCAGTAGATGAAAAATGTCGACTGGATGCTAATGCAGAGCTCAATTCCAGTATTGAGGACCTACTCGAGGCCTCCATGCCAACGAGCGATGGCACAGTTACATTCAAGTCTGAAGTTGCAGTTCTTTCTCCTGAGCGGGCAGAAAATGATGATACTTACAAAGATGATGTAAATCATAATCAAAAATGCAAGGAAAAAATGGAAGCAGAAGAGGAGGAAGCTTTAGCTATTGCTATGGCCATGTCAGCGTCTCAAGATGCCCTGCCAATAATTCCCCAATTACAGGTCGAAAATGGTGAAGATATCATAATCATTCAGCAGTAAGTATACATTTGGGAATTTAACATAAGTCTCAGTTGAGGTTCAGTGAATTCATAAAGCGGTGCTGTTATATTTCCAAAGTTGTATAAAACACAAAGGTACTCAATACCCTCTCCTCAGAGTTGGAGTATAAACCCTCTACAAGTTGATGATGCTATCAGAATCCTTCCATGCTTATTAACAAGTTTAGAGAAGGTATTTGGAAGAGAAACATTGTGTCACATACCAACCTTTAAACTTGCAAAGAAGGAAGTGTAAAAGCAGGGAAACCAGGAATTGAGAACAAAGTTTTTAAGCAGCAGTAGAACTGTACTGAGTGTTAGTTCTGATTTACTTAGAAGGCAATTGTACAAAACCAAACTACTTTCTGAAAGAAAAGGCAGAGTTGGAAGAGATCTTGTCGGCACATCTTGGCAGAGAAGATGTGAGATACTTTAGAAGTCAGAAAAAAGGTATTTGTTTGTGTCCTGGTTTAAAAAGAACAAGAAATAAGCATAGAGAAAGGACTGTTTTATTTGCAATCTTTTGCATGAGGTAAAAACATGTGAAGCATAAAATAATGTTGTTTTGGTTGTGTTTACCGTAGGTGCTAACTAAAATTTTAACTAGATGTTAGATCAGGTATAGAAAAAAAGGTCTTGCTCCTATTCGTGTCCTTCAGTCTTACCTTTCACCTTCAGGTAGTAACATAGAGGAGGCTCTGTTCTCACATACAGCAGGAGTATGTGGATTACAGAATACCCTGGTGTTCTGGTCTCAGCTGAAACATGTATAACATGCAGTACAAAGAACTGTAAGGGAGAGGAGAGGCATATAAGCTTGGATATTTCATAACTTAGCAAAATGCCTGAATTTTAGATGCATGCTAATAACCATGGAATTGGTTTGGAATTTAATTTGCAGACACCAGAAACCCTGCCTGGACATACCAAAGCAAAACACCATTACAGAGAAGATGCAGAATGGCTTAAAGGACAGCAAATTGGTCTTGGAGCTTTCTCTTCCTGTTACCAAGCTCAGGATGTAGGAACGGGGACGTTAATGGCTGTAAAGCAGGTAAATACCTCAAATACCTTCCTTTCTTGAATATATTGTGCTGCTTCTTCCATATTTCTTTGGAATATTAAATACAAAATTTCTCTGCTCTCACAAACTTTTTGTGTTCCTTGCTTCCTCTGCTTCCTGTCATGCGTTCTCACATAAGTCATCTTTATGTGCATGGTATTAACATAATATTTTCAGGTTTTTTTCACTTCTCCTTAAAATGAAGAAAATATTGTACTTTTTTTATATGTCCATTTTCTTCCATAGCTCTTCAAATGCATTTTTACTTTTATCGAGTTCATAAATCAGTGACAGTTAGGAATGGAGCCCAGATCTCTTGTTTCCAAATCAGTGCCCTATTTCCAAGGTAGCTATTAAAAGTAGTTTCCCCTTGTTCGTCAAGATTTTTTTCGTGAAATGGTTTAAGCAGGGGAAATGTAGTTTAATGCTTGTTTCCTCTGATCCAACAGCCAAGTATTTTTAATATTTAAATTGCAAGTACTTTTAATATTTAAATTAATAGATGTGGAAGTGTGACTGAGAAAAGAGGCCCAAATGCACATGCTTCACTCAAGATTTTTGAAGGTACTAGATGTGAGTAAATCTTTCACACTTAAAGTGCCCTAGATCTGCATCAGTGATACCAACATAGAGGGAATCTTAGTCCTAACATTTTCTCACTAATTCTAGAATGAACTTATGGAACCAAGCAATTTCAAAACAGTTATTCAGGGAAAGAATATGTGTCATCAGCTATTGGTCCTTTGAAACTCTCTTGCTTTTGAAAGAGTAGACCTGACCATGTGATCCTTGAGGCTCCTCCTGGAGATACGATGATTCTGATGCCCAGGGGCAATTCTTGCAGCATACAGTTATGTCAGATTTAGTATGGATCAGAGCTGGGCTTGGCTTCAGTTCCATTACAGGACTTCTGGTGTGCTCCCCACACCCTGGCCTGGCACCATGACATTCCTGGGCTAAGAGGTTTAGTTATGAAACAGATAGTATGGTTAAACTAGTAAAAATATTAAAAATAACAACTCTGTCAGAATCCTATTTCAGGTCTTTTCCTTCTTGCTTTCCTTCAACATCTGAGAAAAATAATTCCTTTTTCCTAGTTTAAGTGGAGGAGAGTGAAGAGGGAAGTTTCCCTGCTCCATACTTGGGGAGGTCTTTCTTGATATTTTCCCAGATCACTCTTAACTTTTCTGTGACTGTCTCACGTGGAGATACGTTCTCAGCTGAAGGGGCTTGAAATAAAAGAACACTTGCTATTTCCAGATGGTGAAAAGGGATGGAATACCATCTGTTCTTGTTACTGTACTGAAGGGGGGGTTACAGGACTGGTATTTATGTAAGATAAATCTGAATACCATATTTCAAAACAGGTTACGTATGTCAGGAACACATCATCTGAGCAAGAAGAGGTAGTTGAAGCGTTGAGGGAAGAAATAAGGATGATGAGTCATCTGAACCATCCTAACATTATTCGAATGTTGGGTGCTACATGTGAGAAGAGCAACTATAACCTCTTTATTGAATGGATGGCAGGTAAACAACTACTGTGCCAAAGAAAATGAAAATACCTGTTGAGCCTTGAACTATGTATTTTCATACTGCGTTATGCATCAGTTCCATTTGCAAATTTGTATTTTCATTGCTGTTGGTAACCTGCATAAATGTTTGCTTACAGAACGGTTTAAGTGGTCATAGCAATATTCTCTACTGGTGCATCCTTTTTTTGATTTGGAGTTTTCCATACCTAGTCTATTATGCAGTTAAAGCAGTTGGAACAAAAATTCTGCTACTTTTTCTCAATTTCTGAATCTAAATGAGGAGTTAGAAACTTTGAGACAGGCACATCAGTTGGAAACGCATCAAACTGTTGCATTTTCTGTGTACCTGTGTAACTTTAAGTTATTAAAAATAACTTTGCTAGAAAGTTTGGAATACTTGTCACTAGTTTTTGTCCCAAACATTTTCATAAAAATTGTGTGAGTAACATACAAAGGCATTTAAGAACTTAAAATAAGTTTCTAATAATAGGTAGTAAGCAGGATGCTTTGGGAAAAATACGTTTAAATCTTAAAGGTATTAAGTGATAACTTAGTAATGAAAAGATTTCACTATTTATTACTATGTAGAGCAAGGACAAGAAAGCCAGTATCTTTTTGGAAGAAGGAGCTTTATTAATTTTATGATTGGGATTATATGTTGTTGTCATCCATGTACCAGGACTAGATTTGGTTGTTTATATATCCTTATTTCTTATAAAAGAGAGTGTTACACCGTAACATTCTTTAGCAGAAGCCACTTAGCAATATGTCATGGTTTAAACCCACCTGCAGCTACGCACCACTCAGCCACTCGCTCACTACCTCCTAGTGGGATGGGGGAGAGAATCAGAAGAGTAGACGTGAGAAAACTCATGGGTTGAGATACAGACAGTTTAGTAGGTAGAGTAAAAGCTGTGCATGCAAGTAAAACAAAACAAGGAATTCCTTCACCACTTCCCATCTGCAGGCAGGTGTTCAGCCATCTCCAGGAAAACAGTGCTCCATCATGCCTAACAGTTAGTTGGGAAGACAAATGCCATCACTGAATATCTGCCCTTCCTCCCCCCACCCCTTTCCTCCTCCTTCTCCCAACTTTATATGCTGAGCGTTACTCCGTATGGTATAGAATATCCCTTTGGTAAATTGAGGTGAGCTGTCCCAGCTCTGTCCCCTCCCAAATTCTTGTGCACCCCCAGCCTACTCGTTGGTGGGGTGGTGTGAGGAGCAGAAAGTGTTGACTGTGTGAGCACTGCTCAGCAATAATGAGAACATCTCGACATTAGAGGAACCAACGAGGAGAGGTGCTTTGCTGGACCTTGTTCTCACCAACAAAGAAGGGCTGGTGGGGAATGTGACGCTCAAGGACAGCCTTGGCCGAAGCAGTCGTGAAATGGGAGAATTCAAGATACTTAGAGAAGCAAGGAGGGTGCATAGCAGGCTCACTACCCTGGATTTCAGGAAAGCAGACTTTGGCCTCTTCAGAGATCTCCTCGCTAGAGTACAATGGGACGAGGACCTGGAGGGAAGAGAGGCCCAAGAAAGCTGGTTAATACTGAAGGATCACCTCCTCCAAGCTCAGGAGTGGTGCATCCCAACAAAGAGAAAGTCTGGTAGGAACACCAGGAGGCCTACGTGGATGAACAAGGAGCTCCTGGACCAACTCAGGCACAAAAAGATGGCCTATAGGGGGTGGAAGCAAGGACAAGTAGCCTGAGAAGAATACAGAGCGATTGTCCAAGTAACCAGAGATCAGGTTAGAAGAGCTAAAGCCCTGGTAGAGTTATATCTGGCCAGGGATATCAAGGGCAACAAGAAAAACTTCTATAGATATGTAAGTGATAAAAAGAGATCTAGAGAAGATGAAGGCCCTCTCCAGAAGGAAAGGGGGGACCTGGCTACCTGGAATATGGAGAAGGCTGAGGTTCTCAATGACCTTTGCCTCGGTCTTCACTGGCAAGAGCTCCAGCAGCACAGCCCAAGTCGCAGAAGGCAAAGGCAGGGACTGGGAGAATGAAGAACCACCATTGCAGGAGAAGATCAGGTCCGAGACCATCTTAAGAACCTGAAGATGGACAAGTCCATGGGACCAGACGAGGTGCATCCGTGGGTCCTGAGAGAACTGGCAGATGAAGTTGCTAAGCCACTATCCATCATATTTCAGAAGTCGTGGCAGTCTGGTGAAGTTCTCAATGACTGGAAAAGAGGAAACATAGCCCTCATCTTTAAAAAGGGGGAAAGAAGAGAAGACCCAGGGAACTACAGGCCAGTCAGTCTCACCTCTGTGCCTGGCAAGATCATGGAGCAGATCCTCCTGGTGGCTATGCTAAGGCCCATAGAAAATAAGGTGATTTGTGACAGCCAACAGGGCCTCACTAAGGGCAAATTCTGCCTGACTTTTGGTGGCCTTCTATGATGAGGTTACAGCATTGATGGATAGGGGAAAAGCAACTGACATCATCTACCTGGACTTATCCAAAGCATTTGATACTGTCCCACGCGACATCCTTGTCTCTAAAGTGGAGAGACATAGTTTTGATAGATGGACCACTCGGTGGATAAGGAATTGGCTGAATGGTCGCACTCAAAGAGTTGTGGTCAACGGTTCAATGTCCACGTGGAGGCCAGTGACAAGTGGTGTTCCTCAGGGGTCGGTACTGGGACCAGTGCTATTTAACGTCTTTGTTGGAGACATGGACAGTGGGATTGAGTGCACCCTCAGCAAGTTTGCAGATGACACCAAGTTGTGTGGTGTTGTGGACACACTGGAGGGATGGGATGCCATCGAGAGGGACCTTGACAGGCTGGAGAGGTGGGCCTGTGAGAACCTCATGAAGTTCAACAGGGCCAAGTGCAAGGTCTTGCACGTGGGTCGGGGCAATCCCAAGCACAAGTACAGGCTGGGTGGAGAATGGATTGAGAGCAGCCCTGAGGAAAAGGACTTGGGAGTGCTGGTGGATGAGAAGCTCACCATGAGCCGTTAATGTGCGCTGGCAGCCCAGAAAGCAAATTGTATCCTGGGCTGCATCCAAAGAAGTGTGGCCAGCAGGTCGAGGGTGGTGATTCTGCCCCTCTACTCTGCTCTCATGAGACCCCACCTGGAATACTGCATTCAGCTCTGGAGTCCCCAACATAAGAAGGACATGTAGCTGCTGGAGCGGATCCAGAGGAGGGCCACGAAGATGATCCGAGGGCTGGATCACCTCTGCTATGAAGACAGGCTGAGAGAGTTGGGGCCGTTCAGGCTGGAGAAGAGAAGGCTCCGGGGTGATCTTATAGCATCTTTCCAGTACTTAAAGGGGGCCTACAGGAAAGCTGGAGAGGGACTTTTTACAAGGGCGTGTAGTGGTAGGACAAGGGGCAATGGATTCAAACTGAAAGAGGGCAGATTTTGATTAGATATAAGGAAGAAATTTTTTACATTGAGGGTGGTGAGGTAGTGGAACAGGTTGCCCAGAGAAGTTGTGGATGCCCCATCCCTGGAAGTGTTCAAGGCCAGGTTGGATGAGGCTTTAGGCAACCTGGTGTAGTGGAGGATTTTTCTGCCCATGGCAGGGGGGGTGGAACTAGATGATCTTTAAGGTCCCTTCCAACCCGAACCATTCTATGAGTATCAACACTGTTTTCCGCACAAATCCAAAATGTAATCCCGTACCAGCTACTATGAAGAAACTTAACTCTATCCCAGCCAAAACCAGCACACAATACCAGAGTGCTAACAAGCAAAGCCCAAGTATGTGTTAGTACAAACAATAACGCAGAAAATGTTTTCTCAAAACTAAGGGTGTTTAACTTTTTTAAGTATAATTATTCTGAAAAATTATTAGATAATGGAATACCAGGAATTGGCTTTACCTCATTCAAGCCCAAGTTATACAGAATGCTTTGAGAAGCATGATGGAAATCCAAAATCTTGAAGATCTAGATGCCTGTTTTGGAAAATAAAGATACTGCTTTTTCTTGCTTGTCTACTTGCTTCTACATATTGGTACTTGCATGGTAACGAAAGTAAATTAAGATCCTCAGAGGGAACGCTTACTGGAGGCTGCACATATCTATTGCCTCAAAGAAAGCTGTGTTCTGCTACTTGAACAATAATGCAAAGTGTGGATAAATGTGTAGGTTTTTATCAGCAACAGTACTTTGTACACTAAAAAATTTGTACATTCTGTTAAGGAAGTATAACGCTATTAGGAAGCATGAAGACTTGTGTCTTTAATGAGTTCAGTTCCAAGTAGAAAGTAATCCAGTATATTACTTCTGCCTGTGAAACTTTTTAATGGTTTTGGTTTTTTTGATGGGAGGAGAAATCTAGTTATAAATTAGGAATACCAATACCAAGTTCCAATTTTAGGAGGGAGTGCTGTATTCTATTAATATAAAATATAAGTGTTGATTAAATGTATTTTTTATCTTCCAGGGGGTTCAGTTGCTCATTTGTTAAGTAAATATGGAGCCTTCAAAGAATCAGTAATTATTAATTACACAGAACAACTGTTACGTGGCCTTTCTTACCTCCATGAGAATCAGATAATCCACAGAGATGTTAAAGGTGAGAATTTAGAATGTCTTTTAGAAATGAATATCCAGAAAGCATCTATTTTGACTTGAGACAAATCTCCGAACAATCCAAGATAAAGAGATCAGGTTTCTAATGTGTATAGGAATATTGTGATGAGTTTTCTTCCTTCATCCTAATTGAACATAAATGCAGTTGTACTGTGTTTGAGTAAAATGTGGACTTTACTGAGTAATACCAGTCTTGGTAGACTTTTCCCTTTAATGTCACTATAGCTGTTGAGCTGGAGAGATATGCAGATAAGAAGCAACATAGTGATGGCAAATATTTGTCTTTAATATTTCTTCTTGAAATAGGAAAATTTTCAATTGCTCTAAATCTCTTCAAGACAACTCAAAGTTGCTTAAGAATGAAATAAGTTTAAATTTCACAGGGAGCTGCAGGCAATAAAAACCTCCAGGGTTTTAGGTCACCGTTTTCTTTCATTATTCTGTCTCCAGGCATTGTTCCAGAATCCTGTGTTTGCCCTACTTCAAAAGTTTGATTGCTTCTCTAAATCTCTCAGCCTCAAGCTGTGTGCAGGATCATTCAGGCATAACAGAAAAGTGACATTATTAAACTCTGTCCTTGATTTTATTTCCTTCATATTGGGGGTGGGGAACATCAACTTATTTATGGTTTTGAAATGGAGGGACGAAGAGTGTCTGTTTATCCTTTTGCCTTTAACAGAAAGCCAACTAGCAGTATTTCTATTATGCTGTTGACAGGTGCCAATTTGCTAATTGACAGTACAGGTCATAGACTAAGAATTGCTGATTTTGGAGCTGCAGCCAGGTTGGCATCAAAAGGAACTGGTGCTGGGGAGTTTCAGGGACAATTGTTGGGAACTATTGCATTTATGGCACCGGAGGTAAGAAACCAGTTTTGGACGTTACTTCAAAAAGATCATTTGAACTCTTTAAGCTAATTCATACAGCCAAATTAACAGAAAATCAGTGTAAATGCTTCAAATATGTTTTAAGTGTACTTGTTCTAAAGAATAGGAATGATTCCAACATGGTGATAGACACTTCTTTCTCACTGTCAAAGTTGGTTTAAGTAGTTTGTTGCAAGGTATATCTATCATAAGCATTGTTACTAAATCCCAAATGACCATTTGGTCAAAAGCTCACTATTGCAAGGTACTCTTCTGTGCCCCTTGATCAGGCATTTTATTTACTAGCTCTCTACAGCTAGATAAATTTCACAACATTTACATCACTGATCACTCTCATCCTGAAATGTTAATCAGAATGCACTTAGTTGATGATATTTTTTTTTTAATCTGAATTACTTAAGAGTTAAGGGACTTTGAAGTGGATAATCTGAGCTTTGATCTATCTGTCTGTTCAGGTTCTGAGAGGTCAGCAATATGGTAGGAGCTGTGATGTGTGGAGCGTTGGCTGTGTTGTCATAGAAATGGCTTGTGCTAAACCTCCCTGGAATGCAGAGAAACACTCCAATCATCTTGCTCTGATATTTAAGGTGAGGTATTTTGTTGCTACAAACATGCTACAAAACATGCTGACTAATTTCATGTACAGCAATGTGAATTTTAGGAAAGTGTAAAAGTAGTAGGGGTTGTTGCAGTAGCTGTTTATATTGGAGCTGTTAGTACAAAATCAATACTCGCTTGTTCAAAAAAAAAAAGAAGGGCTACCAACACAATAATATGCAGAAAAAACTCTGTTCTAAGATATAAATACTTGGTGTAACAGGCTAAAAAAATCCTTGAGAATAGAGTTGGTCTTTAGGCAGAAGATTGGGATTTGAACTATTTTTTACAATCTTGTAAAATACAGGAGCAAAAGAAGTATTTCTGCCATAAAACATTTGTTTGCATTCATATTCAATAGCAGGGAATGTCCTTTGGTAAAAAACTGGTGTTCTACGTTCAGATTACGCTGAAAAATATCTACTGTTGTGCTGTGCTTTATATGAATGTTGCCCCTCCCTTTTCTAGGTCATCCATATTGGCATTCATGTTTTTTACTAAAATCAATTAGGTATATTTAATTCTAAAAGTCTTGTTGAACTGTCGGCATTAATGAAGAAAATATTGCTGCAATTGAAGAAAGTGATTAGCATCTTCACCAGCATGAGCAAAGAAAGTGTTTCCACAAAACAGAAGTAGCACAGCAGTATTCAGATACCTTCCAATTAGGTACAAATCACTTGTGATAAGAGATCTAATTGTCTCGGTTCCCTGTCTACCTGGTGGTGCCACCCTAGTGTTCTCAATCATCTTGCTTAATTTCATCTAGAGAAGACCAGAATTAATTTGGTTGGGAGGGGTCTGCATCTGTCTGAGAAAGATATAGCCCGTTGGGGTGGCAGCAGAAATACAGAAAGACACAATGCAAGCAT